CGCTGCCCACCGATCCCCTGCTCCTCATCTTATCATTCTTGGATTACCGGGACCTAATCAAGTAATAGGACGACGCGCATGGCAGGGGTGGGGGTCGCAAGGTGGAGGGAGGCAGTGCGGCAGTAGGGTCAGAGGCCCGGCTCGCAGACAGGACCCGGAGTCCCCCGTCAGCCAGAAGGTGACGCCAGGGCCGTCCTGATCCTGCAGAGCCACCCGGGGGCCGGGGCGACCTGCGGGGTCCCGGGCGGAAAGGGCCCCGCCTGGAGGTCTCCCGTCCAGGGCCCAAGCTTGCGGGTCGAGGAGAGCCGTGCCTCTCTCAGGCCTTGGCAAGGCCCGCTCGCCAGGAGGGGAGTGGGGGCGGGAAGGGTGTACTGCTCCCCGCCGAGGACCCCCGCGCCCCTTGCCCACCGGCCCTGCAGGCCTCCGCCGGATCGGGACTAGCCCCGGCCGCTTTGCAAAGGCGCTGTCCGGGCCCGGCGCGCTTTGCTCGGGCCCGAGGCCTGCGGAGTCGGGCGAGGGAGTGAGCAGGTGGGCCGCGCGCGAGGAGCCAGGTGAGCCCCCGGCCCTAGGTGCGACTTCCGCGGCCCCACGGTATCTGGCAGGGCTCACTTTCGGACTTATACGCGTGGTAATTGTTTTGCTCTCAGGCTTCCTCCTCACGGTTGCATGTTGGATTTTGTGCTTTGGTACTGACTTCCGATGACAGATAACAGGTGACCGTCTTGTCTCCTGTACGCTTTGGGTTTCCCCCGTTACCAGCAAGTCGCAGAAATAAACAGCGTTTGCTGGTAAGGGTGGTTAAATGCCCAGTTCCCTCAGTGCTTGAGACTGTCTGGGATGGCGGAGGAAATGGCGCTGTTTACAGTTGACAGCTAGTGGCATGGTTCTGTCTTCCTTGTGCCACCATGTGTATTTGCAGAGGAGGGAAGTCGCCCTCTTAAGGATGGGTAGGCAAGATTTGTTTTATTTATTTACTTATTTTGGATTAACCATTGGATTCTGGCCATTTGATGATGATTGTGCCTTGTGTTATCAGGGATCCTTTTAGTAACACAGTCTAATTGGAGTTCCTGGGACTGTTAGATCACCTAGCTAAGTGGTGACAGGGACAGAGGAATAACTCTAGCTTCTGGCTGCTATCTATAGTAGTACCTGTACCATTTTATTTTTCTAGAAAATAAATTTTTCTCTACTCAGGCTTATACTAAAGCAGGTAAAGTTTATCATCATTTTGGTAAAGTCTGTTCCAGCTGCAAACTGTTTTCATCTGAAATAATATGTTACTATAGCATCTTACAAATCTATCACACAAACCCTTTTTATCTGTGGGCTACACCAAAGAAAGAGTGGTCTTTAAAAAATCTGTCACACTTAAAAACCTAGCATGCCTCTTGTTTGTTCACAGACTGTAACCTATCATTGGCACAGTCCACTCTAGCCATGTCAGACTACTGCCAGCAAACTGCACACTTGTGTTTTTTTGTTCTGTGGTTTAATCTCCAGACCTGGAATGCCTTGCCCCTGTCTTCACAACCTGGCAAGTTAGAATTCCTTTAAGATCCCCTCTCCTGAGTCCTCTTTCTACTTTTCATCCTTCCTCTCCAGAGTTTGTCATGCCACATAGATTGTGCACTTCTTAAATGTAAAGATTGCCTTGTTTACCTTTTTATTCATTATTTATTCAACAGATTTTTTCAATGCCTGTTGCATGCCAACCTATTAAATGTTAGGGTGCAGTAGTGAACAAGACAGAAGGCTCCTCTCATGAAGCCTACAGTCTAGTAGGCAAGTTGGAAAAGCAAACAAGTGCACAATTAAAGAGATGCTATGTGCTGTGAAAGAAATACAGCAATTGCTCTCTTAAGGAATGAGAGGGAGGGATTCAAATTGGAAGTAGCTGCCATATGTGAAAGACATCATAGAGCAGTCCTAGAAGATGGAGCAGTGTCTTCAGAAGCTGACAGGACAATAGCCAAGCCTGTTGGAGGAGTTAGAAGACTGGTATTGCGAGAGGTAGGGAGTGACTCACAGGCAGCGTGGCTTGAGAACAGACTGGTGAGATCATGTAGGACCTGTGAGCCAAGGTGAGGAGATCAGATTTTATTTTAAATGCTTTAGGTAGTAATGAAAGTTTTAAATAGAAGGGACATGATCCTTCCATAAATATTTGTGGAAGTAAACTAAGTTGAATACTGTATTAGGGTTCTTGAGAGAAACAGAACCAGTAGACTGTGTGTGTGTGTGTGTGTGTGTGTACACAATGTACACATATGTATACATGTATATGATTTTTAGATATCTGTGTGTGTGTGTATATATATATATATGCATATATATATGATTTATTATAAGGTATTGGCTAATGAGTTATGGAAACCTGAGAAGTACTACAATCTGCCATCCACAAACTGGAGGAGACCCAAGAAAGCTGTTGGTGTAGTTCAGAGGGCTGAGAGAGCTGGAGAGCTGATGGTGTAGTTTCCAGTCTGGGTCTGTCTGAAAGCCTGGGAACCGAGAGCATGAAGGGCAGGAGAAGATCAGTGTCTCGGCTCAGGTGGTCAGGCAGAGAGCAAACCCAGGCTTCCTCTGCCTTTTCTATTCAGGCCCTCAATGGATTGGCTGATGTGCACCCACATTGAGGATGGCCATCTGGCTGACTTAATCCACCAGTTCAAATGCCAATCTTTTCCTGAAACATCCTTACAGACACAACCAGAAATAATGTTTAACCAGCTGGGCATCCCTTGGCCCAAGCAAACTGACATATAAAAGAAACCATCATATAAACCATCTTCTTTCCTACACTCTGCAACCTGGCTCTGCCAAGTGGTCTGCCCATTGCTAAGTTCTGAAGTTTTTGGTATATATTTGCTGAACTGGATTGGATTGGTCCAGTGGGGTCATTATGTAGAATCAGTGGCAGAAGTTTGAATCTTCTCTATTCTATGGTGACTTATTATGTATAATTCATTCTTAACTCTCACTCTATCAAAATTACAAGTGGCACTTTTTAAACATGCACATGCCTGAGGTACAGATCTCACCCCAAGCCAGCTGAATCAGAATATGTAGAACAGTAGTTCTCATCCTTGATGTGCAGTCAGAGTCACCTTTTGTGCTTATTCCAGAGATTCTCTCATGTTGTTTAACACTTGTGACAGTGGATGGAGAGGGATCAAGAAAAGAGGGTATGTACTCTGAATTCACAAAACGAGGGATTCCTATGTTTGCAATTGTTAGTTTGGGCATCTTCTGAGGTTGGCAGAAAAGTATGAGGATGATGTTTATATAAAATCTGAAAATGAAACAAAGGCAGTGTTTTTTAACATGCCCTATTCATGGCCTTGATAAACCCCATATGATTTAAGATTCCTTTAATTGATTAGCTATTGCCTACGGGAGATCTTTGAATACTTTCTATCATTTGATTCCTCTTAAAGGATAGAAATCCATTTTCCTAATCTTAGGTTAATTCTTTTTACAAATTTGTTATGTAGGGTGGGATTTTCAGGATTGGAGTGTTATTGTACTAGAAATCTCTGTATAATAAAATAATTTTTCCAACATTCCATGTTTTTAAGCAGCTGATACTAACTTGAATAGCTATGGGTAATGAATCAGAATTGTTATGAATCTGTCACCTTTTAGAGGTGGGCTGCCCAATAGTTCTTAATTAAAAAGTGTCTTTGGTGGCAATATTTCTTTAAGAAAAAAATCAAAACAAACAAAGGCCTGTATATTTAATATCAAGTGTCTCGCAGATTTTTTAAAAAAGGAGAAAAGAAAAACCACTTTCACACCTGAATAACATAACTTCCTGTAATGAAGAAATAATTTTGAAATAATCTAGAAATGACATAGGAAAACTCTGATTTGAAATTAATTCCAATAGTTATATGTTTTATAGGCTTTTCATATGAAAATTACAATCGTAGAGATATGGGGGTTTGTTTGTGACCTCAAATAATTAAGATTTCACTCCTTACAAGGTAATCATACTAGCTAACATGTAAAACATGTTTTAGAAAATACTGGTTTGCAATTATAAGAAGAGAAAGTGGAAAATTAAATAAACAAAAGGAATAAAATAAAACATAACATTGAATATATTCATCTTTACTTTTTAGTTATTTTCTTATTTTCTTTTATACTAACTGTGAATCTGGTTACTGCCAGTTGTTGCTATGTCAGTCGAAGACTTAGCCAGCTATCAAGTCATGATCCGCTGTGGAGAAGACATTGCAAAAAATACTGGCTGATATCCGAGTGAGTATTTGGGAACTATGTATTCTTGAAATTTGGCACTTGGCTTCTCTAACACTAGTCTGTTCTGATTCTCCTCTCTAACCCTTGCCTCTTTATCTCCTATGATGGCTCTTCTTGTCCCTGCCCGTAAGTACTGGTGTTCTCTAAGCTTCTGTCCTTGGCCCACTGCCCTTCTCCCTCTGTGAGTCCTCCAACATGCATTGTTGCAATTTATAGTGACTGCTGTGTGCTCCAAACTCCCAAACCTGATTGTCCATCCCTGACATCCGCCGAGCTCCAGACTTGTTTGCACAACTGTCTGGTGGGCCTTTCCATTGGATGACCAACAAGGGTTCGCTGAATTCAGTAAATGTTAATTAATTTGACAGAATAAAAGCATAGATGAGAGAAGGTAACAGTTGGAAAATGTGAAAGAAGGGGTAGGATTGTTAGTATCTTTTTCCTAGACTGAGGGGAGTCAGGTAGTGACTGACGTTAGTGAAGCATGAAGTTAGAGCTTAAAGTATATTATTTAAAGCTGCAAGCTACTAAAAAAAAGTTAATAACTAGTAAGAGCTATCAAATATTGGGAGAAGGAATCCAACAGTGGGTAAGAAGGAATTTTAAGTATTACCATATTCTGATCTTTTATTTTGGGGTACCAATAGATAGATATAAAATTGATAAGTTAACAACTAGAGATATAAATATCAAGAATTATAGAGATAACTTCCAGAAATAACAAAAGTTTCCTTTGAGGAGCTGGGCTTAGAACCAGTGACTAGTTTTTCATTGTAAGTTCTTGGGTACTTTTTTGGTTTTGATAATATGTGTATGTATTATTTACGTTTTTAATAAAAAGATACTTCCCTGCTAAATCCTCCCCCACTGCAAAGTAAAGCAAACACCCTGAATTGTGCTTTTCTCCCTAAACCTGATCCCACTACGTTCCTGGCCTTCGTGGCAGTACCATCCACCCAAGCATCTAAACCAAAACAGCAATCAACCCAGATCCTCTCCTCCACTCCCTATATTCATCCAGTTACCAAGCCTTTCTGATTTTAACCTCTATATTTCTTGAATCTTCCTACTCATTTCATCTAGCTATTAGTTTTAGTTTAGTTCATCATATCTTACCAGGATTATGGAAAAACTCTCCTAACTCATCTCTGTGCTTCTATTTACACACCTCCCATACCACAACTACATTCTCCTCTTAACTTCCCTGTTAAAACACTTCAGTGGCTCTCTGTTCCCTACAGGATGAGATCCAAGCTCATTTATATGTTACCTTGAGGCCTGTTGTGGCTGCCTTATCCTGCACTACTTCTGACTCTTAAATTTACACTTCATTCTTTCTCTCTGATTAGGCTATACATTTTTTAAGGCAAAAAATTTGCCTTATTTTTAGTGTCCTTAGCGGATAAGTAGTTGTGTGTGTGTGTATATATATATATATGCATATATATATGATTTATTATAAGGTATTGGCTAATGAGTTATGGAAACCTGAGAAGTACTACAATCTGCCATCCACAAACTGGAGGAGACCCAAGAAAGCTGTTGGTGTAGTTCAGAGGGCTGAGAGAGCTGGAGAGCTGATGGTGTAGTTTCCAGTCTGGGTCTGTCTGAAAGCCTGGGAACCGAGAGCATGAAGGGCAGGAGAAGATCAGTGTCTCGGCTCAGGTGGTCAGGCAGAGAGCAAACCCAGGCTTCCTCTGCCTTTTCTATTCAGGCCCTCAATGGATTGGCTGATGTGCACCCACATTGAGGATGGCCATCTGGCTGACTTAATCCACCAGTTCAAATGCCAATCTTTTCCTGAAACATCCTTACAGACACAACCAGAAATAATGTTTAACCAGCTGGGCATCCCTTGGCCCAAGCAAACTGACATATAAAAGAAACCATCATATAAACCATCTTCTTTCCTACACTCTGCAACCTGGCTCTGCCAAGTGGTCTGCCCATTGCTAAGTTCTGAAGTTTTTGGTATATATTTGCTGAACTGGATTGGATTGGTCCAGTGGGGTCATTATGTAGAATCAGTGGCAGAAGTTTGAATCTTCTCTATTCTATGGTGACTTATTATGTATAATTCATTCTTAACTCTCACTCTATCAAAATTACAAGTGGCACTTTTTAAACATGCACATGCCTGAGGTACAGATCTCACCCCAAGCCAGCTGAATCAGAATATGTAGAACAGTAGTTCTCATCCTTGATGTGCAGTCAGAGTCACCTTTTGTGCTTATTCCAGAGATTCTCTCATGTTGTTTAACACTTGTGACAGTGGATGGAGAGGGATCAAGAAAAGAGGGTATGTACTCTGAATTCACAAAACGAGGGATTCCTATGTTTGCAATTGTTAGTTTGGGCATCTTCTGAGGTTGGCAGAAAAGTATGAGGATGATGTTTATATAAAATCTGAAAATGAAACAAAGGCAGTGTTTTTTAACATGCCCTATTCATGGCCTTGATAAACCCCATATGATTTAAGATTCCTTTAATTGATTAGCTATTGCCTACGGGAGATCTTTGAATACTTTCTATCATTTGATTCCTCTTAAAGGATAGAAATCCATTTTCCTAATCTTAGGTTAATTCTTTTTACAAATTTGTTATGTAGGGTGGGATTTTCAGGATTGGAGTGTTATTGTACTAGAAATCTCTGTATAATAAAATAATTTTTCCAACATTCCATGTTTTTAAGCAGCTGATACTAACTTGAATAGCTATGGGTAATGAATCAGAATTGTTATGAATCTGTCACCTTTTAGAGGTGGGCTGCCCAATAGTTCTTAATTAAAAAGTGTCTTTGGTGGCAATATTTCTTTAAGAAAAAAATCAAAACAAACAAAGGCCTGTATATTTAATATCAAGTGTCTCGCAGATTTTTTAAAAAAGGAGAAAAGAAAAACCACTTTCACACCTGAATAACATAACTTCCTGTAATGAAGAAATAATTTTGAAATAATCTAGAAATGACATAGGAAAACTCTGATTTGAAATTAATTCCAATAGTTATATGTTTTATAGGCTTTTCATATGAAAATTACAATCGTAGAGATATGGGGGTTTGTTTGTGACCTCAAATAATTAAGATTTCACTCCTTACAAGGTAATCATACTAGCTAACATGTAAAACATGTTTTAGAAAATACTGGTTTGCAATTATAAGAAGAGAAAGTGGAAAATTAAATAAACAAAAGGAATAAAATAAAACATAACATTGAATATATTCATCTTTACTTTTTAGTTATTTTCTTATTTTCTTTTATACTAACTGTGAATCTGGTTACTGCCAGTTGTTGCTATGTCAGTCGAAGACTTAGCCAGCTATCAAGTCATGATCCGCTGTGGAGAAGACATTGCAAAAAATACTGGCTGATATCCGAGTGAGTATTTGGGAACTATGTATTCTTGAAATTTGGCACTTGGCTTCTCTAACACTAGTCTGTTCTGATTCTCCTCTCTAACCCTTGCCTCTTTATCTCCTATGATGGCTCTTCTTGTCCCTGCCCGTAAGTACTGGTGTTCTCTAAGCTTCTGTCCTTGGCCCACTGCCCTTCTCCCTCTGTGAGTCCTCCAACATGCATTGTTGCAATTTATAGTGACTGCTGTGTGCTCCAAACTCCCAAACCTGATTGTCCATCCCTGACATCCGCCGAGCTCCAGACTTGTTTGCACAACTGTCTGGTGGGCCTTTCCATTGGATGACCAACAAGGGTTCGCTGAATTCAGTAAATGTTAATTAATTTGACAGAATAAAAGCATAGATGAGAGAAGGTAACAGTTGGAAAATGTGAAAGAAGGGGTAGGATTGTTAGTATCTTTTTCCTAGACTGAGGGGAGTCAGGTAGTGACTGACGTTAGTGAAGCATGAAGTTAGAGCTTAAAGTATATTATTTAAAGCTGCAAGCTACTAAAAAAAAGTTAATAACTAGTAAGAGCTATCAAATATTGGGAGAAGGAATCCAACAGTGGGTAAGAAGGAATTTTAAGTATTACCATATTCTGATCTTTTATTTTGGGGTACCAATAGATAGATATAAAATTGATAAGTTAACAACTAGAGATATAAATATCAAGAATTATAGAGATAACTTCCAGAAATAACAAAAGTTTCCTTTGAGGAGCTGGGCTTAGAACCAGTGACTAGTTTTTCATTGTAAGTTCTTGGGTACTTTTTTGGTTTTGATAATATGTGTATGTATTATTTACGTTTTTAATAAAAAGATACTTCCCTGCTAAATCCTCCCCCACTGCAAAGTAAAGCAAACACCCTGAATTGTGCTTTTCTCCCTAAACCTGATCCCACTACGTTCCTGGCCTTCGTGGCAGTACCATCCACCCAAGCATCTAAACCAAAACAGCAATCAACCCAGATCCTCTCCTCCACTCCCTATATTCATCCAGTTACCAAGCCTTTCTGATTTTAACCTCTATATTTCTTGAATCTTCCTACTCATTTCATCTAGCTATTAGTTTTAGTTTAGTTCATCATATCTTACCAGGATTATGGAAAAACTCTCCTAACTCATCTCTGTGCTTCTATTTACACACCTCCCATACCACAACTACATTCTCCTCTTAACTTCCCTGTTAAAACACTTCAGTGGCTCTCTGTTCCCTACAGGATGAGATCCAAGCTCATTTATATGTTACCTTGAGGCCTGTTGTGGCTGCCTTATCCTGCACTACTTCTGACTCTTAAATTTACACTTCATTCTTTCTCTCTGATTAGGCTATACATTTTTTAAGGCAAAAAATTTGCCTTATTTTTAGTGTCCTTAGCGGATAAGTAGGTACTCAATAAATGTTTTTGGAATTGTACAAAATAGAAATATTGAATCTTGATTACTTTGATGCTATGTGATTCTCTAGCTAATCCAATTGGATAAATTAGATTACTATTACTGCTTTGTGAGATGCTCAATATACTCTAAAACAGAACAAGTACATACATGTTTTAAGTTGTTAATTGGTATGTTTTTAGGAGTAAGTTGAAATTCATATCCCATATATTATTCACATAACTTTTTTAAGGATTCAAAAGTTAGGAAAAGAATAAGTACAAAGTAAGAAAATAAGTGACTCATAATTCTACCATGCCAGAAGTAAATTAAAATGTTTTAATTAAAAAAAGGTAATTTAAAATTTTTAAATGTTAAATTTTTTGATGTCTCACTTTTTGCTATCTAGTCTTCATTTTTGGCTAAAATAAATGATAAGGAAGACAAATTAAGCAGAAATTCTCAAAGTATGTCAGTAAGTGTCTAAAATGTATGCTAATTTAATTTCAAAGATTTTTTAATCTCTTTTTTTTTTAATCTGTTTAGGGAAGAGAAAACACAGAAGAATCAGTGTTGGAAATCTCTCTTCATAGATACTTACTCTGATGTAGGAAGATACATTGACCACTATGCTGCTATTAAAAAGGCCTGGGATGATCTCAAGAAATATTTGGAGCCCAGATGTCCTCGGATGGTTTTATCTCTGAAAGGTACTGGGAATGCAGGGTCTCTCTTCCCCATTTTAATTAGTATAAGTAGGTTAAATAATTTGGGGTGTCTATCATCTATGATAATCTGTGCTAATCTAACATTATTTGTAATTCACCATTCACATTTGGTCAAGGAAATAGAAAGCCTGTATTGCTAAAAGGACCCTTACTGTAGAGTTTGTCCCATTTTTGCCAGCCTTAGGACTCACATGATTATTTATTAGAAGGGAAAGCTGAGCTCTTTATCCTGACATTTGTTTTATATAAAGAAACTAGTAATGCTAAGATTGCTTAAGAATAACTATTGTGATTTCTTCTAAAATATTTTTTACTACCTGCTGTATCAACCCACTTTCCTATTTTCAGTATAAGTAAGTGTTTGACATCCTAATCATCTGGAAAAACCAAATATTAAAGACCTTGGTCTTTAAAAGTATAAGGGCAGCATAACAGAGTAAGGAAAACTTTTATATCTGTTTCAGCATTTACAAATGGTAAAAACTATGATTTGAACTGAGGTCTATTTGACCCCAGAATCTGTGCTCTTTGAACTATACTATTACTGTCCAGTTTTGGGAAGAAATATTAAAAGCTAGTATCTTATTACCCATTACTTTGATTTGTTACCTTATGTCCAATAAAGTACAAAAACAGATTGTACATATATTGCTACTTAACCTGCTTTAGCTTCCTAGCTTCTTCACATTCCTCTACAGAAAGGAATTTTTTTGGTTTTGCTAAGCTGAAATTGGAATCAGTTCTTCTGAAATGCATTCCTTTCTAACTAAGGTCTCTTTTGAAATAGCATTTCTTTTACATTTCATATTTCCACTGTAACTTCCCATATGACTTTCATATAAATCATGATTGCATCACCAAGTACTTAAAACTAAATTTCTAGGAGGTAGAAGAAAGAATGATGTGGCAGAGAGAGTAGAACTTTGAAGGAAAGTACCCTTGATTAGTATTCTCAATAGCTTTTTTCCCTTGGAAGAAAAGAATGATATTACTCACTTAGTATGTGGGGTTAAGTAATTTCAAGAGGAAAATAATTCTGAAGATAGGTATTAGGTAGTGATAAGTAAAATAAGAAGGGTTTATGATACTATTATTTATTAAATGAGAAGTTGGCAAACTTTCTGTTTAAGTGACCAGATAGTAAATATTTTAGTCTTTGGTAGACAGATGGCCTCTGTCATAACTCTTCAATTTTGTTATGTGGGGAAGCAGCAATAGACAATACATGCACAAATGGGAGTGGCAGTGCTGCAAGAAAACTATTTACAGAAATAGTGGCTGGCTGGGATTTGACCTGCCGGATATAGTTTTCTGATCCTGGGTTTATACCAGTTCCCTTATTTTACAGGTGAAGGAACAGGCTCAGAGAGTGTAGGTGACTTACACAAGGTCCCATAGCTAGTAAGTGACAGAGAACTCTGCTGTAGGTTTCTTGACTCCTCCTAACCTTTTCACTACTTCCTCATACATGTAGGCTAGGGGGTAAGGAGAACAAATGAACATTTATTGAGTTCCAGTAAAGCATTAAACACATGAAGTTTCTTTAATCCTCATTATAATCCTTTCAGGTAGGTAGTATTATCCCCCATTTCATGGATAAAACAGGGTTAAAGAAGTGAAATAACTTGCCAGAGAGATCACCACAGCCAGTGCTTGTAGAGCTGAGATTTGAATGTGGTCAGACTGGCTCCCAAATTCTTTTATAGTAGGATGCCTCTCTGAACCTTGATTTTACTGTATCATAAACACATATATCCTTATATTTCTCTTTTGCCTCGTTTGTCTGTTGTTTTTATTATTTCACCTTTTTTCCATCTAGCTATCTCTTCTTCAAGAAATTCTTGGTTTCTTAATGTTATATGTTACGTGTCCAACAATACTAGTTTCTTTTCTCATCCAACTTATGGTTCAGGCAGCTGTTCAACTTGTTTTCTTCTGTACTAAACATTTTTTTAGTAAACTGTTTATTTTGGAGTAATTACAGGAAGGTTGCAAAGATAAAGTACAGAGAGTTCCTGTATACCCCTCACCCAGTTTCAGTTTCCCTTTATCAATCTCCCCATAGGACATTGGTCAAGACCAAAGTCTTCATTGGTATATTATTATTAACTAAACTTCAGACTTGATTCAGATTTTGCCAGGTTTTCCATTCATGTCCTTATTGATTTCTGTATCCAATCCAGAACGCCAAATTACATTAGTTGTCACGTCTTCTTAGTGTCCTCCAGTCTGGCAGTTTCTCAGTCTTCCCTTGTCTTTCATGACCTTGACAGTTTGAAAGAGTACTGGCCAGTATTTGTAGAATGTCTCTGAAACTGGTTTTGTTGAAATATTACTCATGATTAGACTGGAGTAATGGGCTTTTAGAGAGATTTTCACTGAGATGAAGTGTTTCTTTTTTTACATTATATCAGAAAATGTTATCCACATCACTAATGATGTTACTAATATAACAGAAATGTGCACAGCTCATAAGTATACAACTCACACTTCACAAGTGTGTAATTCATAACTGAACTACCACAGCATGAACATTCCCATTGTAACACCTTCCAGGTCAGGAAGTAGAATAATTATCTGTACCTAGAACCCTCCCTCTTTCTTGGAGATAAACATTATCCTGTTTGCTAATGCATCTGAGTAGCTTTCTCTGTTTTTGAATTTTATATAAAATTGCACGATTAAGCATGTATTTTGTGTGAATTATTTGTTTTGTTTGTGAGATTCAGCTGTACAGTAGTTCATTTTTGTTGCAGTATAGTACTCCATTATAGGAGTAGACCACAATTTATAGATTTATTCTACTGTTGATGGATGTTTGAGTTATTTCTAGTTTTGGGCTATTACAAATAATGCTGCAAGTCATTTCTTATGTATATAGAGCATATTTCTATCTAGGATTGAGTTTGCTGGGTTTAAAGATTCTTACATGGAACTTCAAAAGATACCATTAATTTTCCAAACTGGTTCTACCACTTTATACTCCTACAGGCCTGTAATGACTTTAATGTTGTCATTCTTTTTTACTTTAGACTTCCAAGTGTGTATGTAGTGGTGGTTTTAATTTGCATTTCCCTGAGGATACAGAATACTGACAGTTTTATTTCTAGCTTTCCAATCCTTATATGTCATTTATTTATTTTTCTTGCTGTATTATACCAGCTAGGGCCTTCAATACAATGTTGGATAGAAATGATGATAGGGAGCATTCTTATCTCTGATCACAGAAGGAAAGCCTTCAACATTTCTCGTTTTTAAAGATGATGTTTGCTGTAGTTTTTTGTGGATACTTTTTATCAGATTGTCCCTTCTTATCCTAGTTTGCGAAGAGGGATTTTGTTTTTGTGTCTTAAATAGATAAATGAATTTTTATCAAATGACTTTCCAGCCTTGGTTATCATATAATTTTTCTACATCATTCTGTTGATCTACTGAATCACATGGACTGATTTTCTGAATATTAAACCAACTTTGCATTCCTAGAATAAACTTACTTTGGTTGTAATATATTATTTTTATATATTGGATAAATTTGACTTGCTAGTATTTGTTCGGGGTTTTTACATCTATGTTCATGAGAGAGTTTGGCCTGTAATTTTCCTTTCTTGCAATGTTCTTGTCAGGTTTTGGTATCAAGATGATGCTGACCTTGTAAAACAAGTCGGGAAGTTGCCTCTTTTTCTATTCCCTGGAAGAGTTTATGTAAGCTTGGTCTTATTTCTTGCTTAAATGATTAGTAGAATGCACCAAAGATCCTTGAGTTTTCATTGTGGGAAGGTTTTTAATTAAGATTTCACTTTTTTATGAGATAATCAGACTCTTCAGATTTTCTACTTATCCTTAGGTCAATTTTAGTAAGTTGTATTTTTCTAGGGAATTGTCCACTTCATCTACATTTTATAATTAATTGCCGTAAAGTTTTTTTATATCATCTTTGTAATGCTTGTTGGATCTATAATTGTTTCACCTTTCCATTTCTGATATTATTTGTGCTTTCTCTCTGTTATTCTTGATCAATCTTACTATGGTAGGGGCTGGTTAATTTTATTAATCTCTTCAACGAACTGGCTTTTGCCTTGGCAATCCTCTCTGTATTCATTATTTTATTAATTTATCTGATTTCTTCAGAGTTTACAATGGCTTTTTGTCTGACTTGAGATGACTACTTAGGTCATAAATTTTCAGCCTTTTTTGTTTTCTTCAATTACATTTAGGGCTATTAATTTCACTCTAAACATAGTTTTAGCTTCATCCCACAAGTTTTAATATGTTGTTTAAAATAATATGTTTAATATGTTTTCATTACCAGGCAGTTAAAAATATTTTCTGATTTCCTTTGATTTCTTCTTTGACCCATGGGTTACGTAGAAATGTATTGCTTGATACCCAAACATTTGGGGTTTTTTTTTAGTAATCTTTTTAATTTAATTTGCATTTTAATTCCACTGTGGTCAGAGAATATACTCTATATAGAGTTCAGTTATTTGAAATTTATAATGATTAGTTCTGCAGTCCAGCATATAATCTGTCTTGGTAAATGTTCCATGTACACTTGAAAAGAATGTATATTCTGCCATTGTTAGAGTCAATACTACATATATAATTAGGCAAAAATTGTTAATCTTGTTAAAGTCTTTCTTACTCTTACTGATTTTTTTTTTGTCTGTCTTTTCTGGTAGTTACTGAAAGAGATTATGTTAAAGCTTCTCACTATGGTAGGCAGAATTCTAAGATAGCACCTAAGATTCCCATCCCACTGTAATTGCCTGGTATAATAATTGCCTGTCTTGAGTGTGAGCAGTACTATGGCTATAATCGATTTCAGTCTTGTGATTAGGTCGTATATGACAAAGATGAAGGGACTTTACACAAGTAATTAAGGTCCCAAATTAGATGAATTTGAGTTAATCAAAAGGGAAATTATCCTAAGCAGGCCTGACCTAACTAGATGACCCCTTAAAAGGAACTGGGCCCTTCCAGAACTCAGAGACTGAAAGCATAGGTATCTCTCCTGTTGACCTTGAGTAAGCAAACTGGCATGTTATGGAAAGGGCCAGGTGATAGAGAATGGCAGGTGGTCTCTAGTAGCTGAGGAAGGCCTCAGTTCTACAACTGCAAGAAACTGAATTCTGCCACAGCCCGTGAGCTTAGAATTGTAACATGCCTTAGATGAGATAGCAGCCCCAGTTGACACCATGATTTCAGCCTTGTTGAACCTGAGCAGAGGATCCAATTCAGTCATGACCTACAGAAACTGTGAAATAACAAATGAATAAATAATAATATATTAACAAATAATAATAATAAGTTGCTAATACTGCAGCAATAGAAAACTAATACATCCTCCATGATTGTAGCTCTTTTTTTTCCTTTTAATTCTGCCATTTAAAAAAATGTTTTGATGCTGTTATTAGGTACACAAAATTATAATTATAATATCAATATAGTGAATTTAACCTTTATGCATTATAAAAAATCCTCCATTACCTCTAATCATGCTGTTTGCCCTAAAGTCTATTTTGTGTGATTGTAGTAGAGCTAAGTCTACCTTTGTTTTCTCTATCTATATTCTTAAGACATACCTCTTAAATGTGATGTGTTTTGTCTTTTTTACATCTGGTCTGTCAGCCTGCCTTTTAATTAGATTATTTAGTTTCTTTATAGTTAATGAAATTATCAGTTTGGGGACAATGAAAGAACCTTAGAATGCCTTAACTCCAATTACCTCCCTCCTGCCTATTGTATTATGGTTTTGATGATTTAAATTTTCAATATATTTTATATCCCTGAAAACATTTTTATCTTACATATTCAATTTTATTTTAGGTTTACCTCCATATTTACCTTTTCTGGTTGCTTTTCATTTTATTTCTTCCTAAATCTTCATTCTTCCATTTAGAGGCATTTTTCTTCTGCTTGAAGAATTCCTTTTGGTATTTTTTTTTTTTTAGTGAGGAATTGTTGCTGCTGAAGTTGTTTTTTTTTTGTCTAAAATATATTCATTTCATCTTCACCTTTGAAGTATATATTTACTGGATATAGAATTCCAGTCAGCACTTTGAAGACACCATTCTTCTGTCTTCTATTGTTCCTGTTGAGAATTTAGCTGTGAGTCTTATTGTTCCTTTGAAGGTGATATTACAGGCTTTTCCCCTTGTCTGGCTGCTTTTAAGATTTCTCTGTCTTTGATTTTCAGCATTTTTCCAGTAATGTGTCTAGATATGATTTTCTTTGTAATTATTCTCCATGAGATTTATGGTGCTTCTTGAATCTATGGTTTAATGTTTTCATCAATTTTGAGATATTCAGCTCTGTGGCGCTACTGCTGAAACCTTTACTCCACCCTCTTGGCCTCTCAGCCTAATGTTTGCTTTCAGAACTGGCAGTTGCCTCAAAGACAAGGTGACTCTAAAGGCCGGGAACCTCTCAGTTTCCCTGTTCTTCTGGACACCCCCTCTGCCAGCCCTTCTCTCCCCACCCCCACCCTTCTCACTGTCTTTGACCTTCCCAGAGCCTTGAACCCATTTTCTGTTGTTCAGTTTTTCTAGTTCTTAGAAAGAGGTTTGGTCCAACAATCTGGTGGGACAGCTCTGAAAGTAAATCACTTGGTATTTGTAATTATTTCCTGCTTTTTAAAACTAGAATATATTGCAAGCTTACATTTGTACAAAATTGAATTCAAGTTAATGGCCTCCTTACCAGCATAAACCTTCACCTATGTCTTATATTTTCCATTAAGAGACTATGTTATGAACTCTTGAACATCAGTTTAACCAACTTATGAAGAGTTTTTTAAAAATAGAGAAGTGTGAGTATATTAAATTTTAAAAAATGAGATATGTCATAAAGTTTGCACTATAATGTGAGAAAAGTATTGTGGATCTCCCCAGGGCCCACCTTTCCATATTTTACTTAGTGCTAGTATTTTTCCTATTGAGAGGAAACTGAGGAATTTGCTTGCTTAGTACTTCAAATGTCAGAGCCAGTCAAAAGAGTTGCAATGTTTCTCTGAATTTTCAATTCATTTTCCTGTATTTCGGCAGTACATTTTGGACAGAAATTACTTGCTCTAAGGTTTTTTCATTGGCTATTGGATAAATTATATTTCTTCTTGGATTTAAAGCTTATTATGTCGTCATAATTTACTTTTTTGTGTATTTACAGAGGGTGCTCGAGAGGAAGATCTTGATGCTGTGGAAGCTCAGATTGGTTGCAAGCTCCCTGATGATTATCGATGCTCTTATCGTGTCCACAATGGGCAGAAGTTAGTGGTTCCTGGGTAAGATATTCTCCATTTTGGTTATTTTTCATGGTACAAGTTGTTTTGTAGATTAAAAAAACAAATTATATTTGTAGTTACTCCTAACAAATTAAAGATGGCAATTCCCTCTTCTTTGTAGAAATCCACAAGACAAAAATCTATTGCTTGAATCTGATTTTACCAAAATATATATGTCTCATAGAAACAACATTTCTATCAGCACATCCTTATAAAACGTCTGGTTGGGGATGGGGGCTATGGGACATAGAGTAGATGTGGGTGGGTGAGTATATTTTAACTAAAACTGTTGAGAACCCTTGAGGTATTTATCCTGTTAAAGGTAAATTGTTTCAGAGAGACAATTTGGAGAATTTGAATCAAATTCTATGTACCATACATGTGAAAAGCAATAATTTGTTCATAGCTACATATACTAAACCAAAGAAAGTATATTTATCCTATTGAAGTGTAGTCTATAATTGAATGGCCTATTTTTAAACTTACTTCTAAAAACTGAAGTATTCACTGTGGAACCTTTTAATAAAGACCATGCAGTAGCTGTCAAATTCACTCATAGTTTTAAAGCTCTATGCTTTGAATGGGTCTACTCCTTTTGTTCTTTTATGAAATTAAGCTATTTCGGAGACATTTTACACTTGTAAAATCCTAATAAGAACTTTGGGAGAACTTTCCATTGTTATTAGACCATGGTATCTCTTTGTGAAGAATCACATGAAGCTCTGTTAACCATTAAGATCAGGATTGAGTGAGTAAAGGGAATCTTAGAGGTGATCATAACTGAGATAACAAGATAGTGTTCAGAAATCTAATATTGAAATGCTAATAAGAACTTTGGGAGAACTTTGCATCGTTATTATTGGAACATGGTGTTTCTATGAAGAATAACATGAAGCTCTGTTACCATTCAGATCAGGGTTGAGTGAGTAAAGGGAACTTAGAAGTGATCATAACAGAGATTCTAAGATAGTATTCAGAAATCAAATAGAAGGCAGTTAGGACTAGATAACGCTAAGTTAGTGGCTGTTTTTTTCTAGTCTCTTTTTCTATCAAACCGAAACTTGACAAATTGAAAAACTGTCATATTTCAAGAGCAAGCAGGAAAGAACTTTATTAAAAGAGTTGCCCAGAATTGATATGACAAACAGATCATGAGTCTCAATACAGAGACTTTTAGCTACCCATCGCCCAAACCATGAGACTTAGAAGAGGAATCTTGTCAAAGACTAACCCCTGTGTTGTTCTCATTTGTATACAGTGAAACGAATTTAGACCCCATGCATTCCAAGTTTATGAAAATTTGGACAAGGTTTAGGCTGATACATTTATAATGTCTGGAAGCATAGGGTAAGCTGAAGATTGTATCAAGATAAAGGTATCAGAGAGAATGTACCCCTTTAAACATTAAATTAGTCATACATATGTAGCAGAAACATCAACAAATCAGTATATCATGGCAAGATTCTTGAAAATAATAGAAATTTTTTCTTTTAAAAAGGCTGATATTCAGACATTTTAGACAGGCTTTTAATTTAAATCAGAATCTTACCAGTCTTGAGTTTGAATTTAACATATAGAAATTATAGCATTTGGGGTATTCCTGCTTTAGCATTGGCATGTTAAAACTCTTATAAAGTTGTCAGTATGAAATTATTATGTATCAAAAAGATGAAACACAGCTGTTTGTTTAGCACTGCAATTGATTTAAATTTTTGAGTCTGTATTCTCAGGTTGTTGGGAAGCATGGCACTGTCTAATCACTATCGTTCTGAGGATTTGTTAGACGTTGATACAGCTGCAGGAGGCTTCCAGCAGAGACAGGGACTGAAGTACTGTCTCCCTTTAACTTTTTGCATACATACTGGCTTGAGTCAGTACATAGCAGTGGAAGCTGCAGAAGGCCGAAACAAAAACGAAGTTTTCTACCAGTGTCCGGTAAGTAGGAAGTGTGTGTAAGTGCAGCTTTAAAATCTGTTCTGATGAGTATAGGAATGTATGTATTAGGAATTTTCAGGGTTGTAGAATGAATATATGCAATTATTCATTATGCAATTTAACTATAGACTTAACCTAACTGGAGGGCTAATGTTCTGACCTGATGGCATAGGGTGCCAAAAGAAAATTTTACCAATGGTCAAATGTTTGCTGTTGTACATATAGGGGGGCTGTAATTTGTGTTAACACATTTTAAGTCTGAGGAAAACTAATGAAATTTTTGGTTGAAATGATTATAATACACATTTCTAACTAAAAAAACTTAGCTTTTGAACTTACTTGTGTCAAGTTCTGAGTGCAGTAATACTTTCAAAACTCTTCTGTAGGTATTTGAGTTGTGGAAGAATGCAGATCCTTTTAGGAGGCTTTTGTTACAATTTTAATGTTATCAGAAAATATGGTATTATTTCTTCAGTTCTTTACAGTTACTCAGTTGCGGAGCTTCTGCCTAGGTATGAACTTCTAAAAGAGAGATTTACTATAGAAAGTATTTTTCAGTTATCCATGACATGTGACTCCATATAACATATAAAAATATTTAAAGACCTTTCATAGCTTTTAATTTTTTTCTAAGCATTTTCAATCTTTTACCTCATTTCTGATTGATACCTTGGTAAAGCTGTAGACTGCTGGCTTTGTCTCTCCATTGACCAAAAGAAGTAACCAGCCTAGAATTGTTAAAGTCTCTTGACTCTGAATCCAAAACCCTTTCTTCTAGGATAATAGACTATATATCTTCTTACTTTAACATCCTAATTGTTTTCTTGAAGGAAAACTTTCTAATTCATTGTAACAGTAATAGCAGTATATAGGCACTTTACCTGCTATTGAGGAGTGCCTGGCACTCTTCTAAAGACTTTATAGAAAGATTCTAAATATAGAAATCATAAGAGCAGGAACTGAAAAGTGTGAGGAATGTCTCCAGTGTTGGTTAGAGCACCTATGTTATTTTTGTCTGTTTTGCTTTGTCTCAGGGAAGGATACAGAAAATGAACAAAGATAAATTAAGTAAAGGTATTTTTCTCAGTTATAATCCTCTTTTTCTCACCTAGGACCAGATGGCTCGGAATCCAGCTGCTATTGACATGTTTATCATAGGTAGGAGAAAAAAAGTCTTCCTTTTTCCCTTCTACCTCCTGGTCAAAAAAATTAAGCTGGTAAAAACTTTGTAGTTACTAGATGAGATGACAATTTTATACTTGTATTTCTTAAGGCTTGCTGGTTTATAAAGTACTGTATCTAGGCTTGAATTTGGTTTCTATTTGGAAAAAAAGTACAATCTTGAGCTCTTAGAACTCTGCTCTAGAACAGTGAAATGTATGGAATTGCTATGAGTATGTATATAGTTCCCTTACACAAGCAATTTCTATCAATCATATTAGCTAAAAAAATCAAAGATAAAAATATATAAAATAACTTTTTACTTTTTCTTTTTTGGTACCAATTCTATAAGTATTGATAAGTCACACTAGAGACCTCAAAATAGTAGTCTTCAGAGACCAGTATAAACTGGTCTTCCTTTGCACCACTTGTGTTTCTTGGCCTTAAAAAGATATTTCTCCTAGGATTTTGAAAGCAACTCAATTTGGTGCAAGTGCAGCTCACCCCTTTGCTGTTCATCCAGTCTTGTTTTGCTTAATTTTGCTCACTTATGAGAAGCTTCCTGGCTATCCATTCTGCTTTTTAAAGGGATTTCTGGCACATATTAGATATCCCCATATATTAATAGTAAAGGGGACTTGCGGGCTGAGGCATCTGTAATTTAGTTATATGTTTTAATTGGAGCCTTGAACAAAGTATAAGTTTCCATTTGTTCCATAATGTGGCATATTCCAGGGTTGTGGCTTACTTCACAATATCAAGAATCTCTCACTCCTGCATAATAAGTTATAAAAAGCTTTTAAACTTAGCCTCCAGGTTTCAGCTCACCCTGATTCATGTGTTTCTAAGTTAAGCACCCTCCAGGAGTCATGACCCTGCTCGTTGTTCTCTTTGGCATCTTTGTGCAGCACGTACTTTTGAGAGTTGAGCATCCTGGCTCTAGTCCAGTGGTGCTACTTGATTTATAAACTAAAGGCTGCCTGAGCTCACAGAGTCAGCTAGGCTAGGCTCTGTGAGTTTCTTACTCTTATTTTGGTGCTGGTCTGGCATGGTGTGTAAGACCTCACCACTATAGCAGAGTACAGTGGTCTGATATTATTCTGGTATCTAGGATTTCTCCCAGAATGAGAGAGCAGAGCAAAAGATTTGAGTTGCACTGAGAAGGGATGAGGTGGGAAGTTAGTGCTGGGAGGAAACATGAGAAAATGGCCTCCTTTATGCTGTCTTCATAAATTCCCATTCTACAAAGGAAACTTCAAGAAACTGCCTTTAGAACATATAAATTACATCTTGATTCAACTAAATTTGACTTTTATTTGAATTTTTGGTAAAACACGACATGAAACCTTTTGGTGTTCAGTGCATTATTATTAATAGATACTTAAGAAAACTGAAATCTGTGTCCAGGTAGGTAAGTTTAGGCTACATAGAAAATTCTGTCCTCATTTTAAAGAACATATTTTGGTATAATAACAAACTAAGGTACATGAAAATACACCATGCTATTTCTTTTGTATGTAAATCATAATAGATTTATTTTTTCTTATACAACATTTTTATCACATGAAATGTACCAAAATGATTTTTTAAACTTTACAGTGAAATTACTTGTTCTAAAAATGTAAAATTATGCCTTATGTGAATTTTAATGACATTATTCATGTGGCTCCTTAATTTCTTGCTCAAAGCAGGTAGATGACTGTGATCATTTGAATACAATAGCATTTAATAAATAAAGGATCAGAATAGGCCATTAAACATTGAGGAAAGAACCAATTATTGTAATTTACCTTATCTCAGTTAATACCTTTAAACTTTTTAAGCTATATACCCTCAGATCCAAGCTTAAATTGTTTTTCTCATTCCCTTAATGGAATAATAAGTAAATACTATTTAAGTTTAGCATCTGACACTCAGCATGGCAAAGTACAGAAAATCAGTTAATAGAAACAAGATTACAAAGAAATTCATTGAGTAACATTGTTTAAGGGACTTAAAGTGTGCTAGGCACTGAGATGTGTTAACAATAGATAATGGGGGTCTGAGAAAGTTATGTATATTACCTAGAAGGGCAAACCTAATTCATGTAAATACTTGTGATTGATCCAACCGCAAGATCACAGATGTATGATTTGGGCTGGACTTTGAGCTGGTTCCTGAGACTATGGAGGACCACTATGCATTTGAATCTGTAGTGGTACAACTAGACTAGGTTCAGATTGGCCTGATCCCCAGCACTCTGCAGTGCCATCCTTGTTAGATGTCCCAGCTGAGCCTGGCTTCTGCCAGAACTGTGTGCATGAGTCAGGATGTACCCAGACCAGGGATGTACCTCGATCACCTGAGTAGGCACTGATATTTTTCCTGTAGTTTCTTCCCAGACATAGCTGTATCCCATTTGTTCTTGAACCAGAACAAAATAAAGTTTAAAAATGTTATTTAATTGTAAATGTAAAAAAGTGGTTTAAAGGTAGTTGGAGGATTCTCTAGCAAGGAAGTTGGGAATAAGGTGGATAAAACTGAGAATAAAAATTGACCTGATAAAGGACTAGTAAAATTACATCTATAAATGTTTCTAGTTTGGGCCTCATTATCTTATGCATAGAGCAAATAATTGTTTCATTATTTCCTGTATAGATTTAACAAAAACTATCTGTACTTTCTCCCCGCAACCCCCACCTCCCTGTCCCCTTCCTGGGTTTACAGGTGCTACTTTTACTGACTGGTTTACTTCTTATGTCAACAATGTTGTGTCAGGCGGCTTTCCTATCATCAGAGACCAAATTTTCAGGTATTTCACTTGGGACTTTCGGATTGAAACGATTATGAATCAGGAAATAACCATTAGTTACAGCTTATGAGATGCAGTTTCCAAGAAGGTTAATAACAAAACCTCTCATCTTAAATCTCACTATTTTATTCTCACTTTATAGCCATTTGAACAGCCAGTATTTTTCTTAACCTTGAGGAATCAAGAAAAGAATTGATTTTGATTTAGAAGCTGTGGCTTATAGTATAGTTTCTTTTTGAAAAAAAATTTTTTGCTAATTAATAGATGTATTATGAATAGCAAGTCCCTAACTCTTAACTCCTGGCAAATACTATGTACTATCTCTAAAGGGAACATACAGGTATTAAAGATAGTATTAGAGGTAATACTGGTTCACAGAAGCCTGGCTGGCAGAAATAATAGATTAGTTGTACATGAGAGGCTTCTAGAATAACATGAACACATTTTATTGTCAGAGCCACTGTTACTAGGTATAGTTGGGTTTTCAGATGTCCCAAAAGTTTCTTAACTCTGAAAACTGAGAGGGGTTCTTTTTAGTTTCCAAATTAGTTTTGGAATCATTATTTGAACCACTGATCATTGAACCTGGACTACTCTTATTCCTGATCCAGAGTCTTCAGGGTTTTCTAGTTTGTAATTTCTAGTTTTCTTCTGAGCTTCCTAGGTTTTTATATACTTTATACTTTTAAGGTCCCAAATATGATTTAAATTTTGATCATAAAATAAAGTATAAAAGCTATTTTACATTGTATCTTTAAACCTTTTATCTTACAGACTTGAAGTTAGTTGATTAAAAAATGTTCAATTTTTTAAAATTACCCAGGTATGTTCATGATCCAGAGTGTGTAGCAACAACTGGAGATATTACAGTTTCAGTTTCCACATCGTTTCTGCCAGAACTTAGCTCTGTACATCCACCCCACTATTTCTTCACATACCGAATCAGGTGAGAATTGTAAATGGGGTTGCCTTTTATTTTGATCTGTCTTAGGGATGTGTTGTTGTTATTGCCTCATTTGATAAGATACATAAAACATTTTGAAAGGCAGCTTCTTGCTGAAGTGTGGAGGAAGGTGGATAACAAGTTATTATATTAAAGTTATCTATAGTATAGTGTTTGTAAAATACCTTGAGTGTACATTAACCTCTATGTTATTCGAGTATTTCTTGCAAATATATTGCTTGAAGTATTATGCCAGGTACTTTGCAAGGTGGATGCTAGGCTGTAATCATTATGAAAGCTCACTATTAAGAGTTATAATCCATTCTAGAAGCTGTGAAATTGCCCAAGGTAAAAACCATGCGTTTAAATTTTCATCTGGCCTGTCTATATTCAGTTAAATATTCAGTTGAATATTATTCAGTTAAATAAAAAAAATAAAAAAGCCTAATAAATATTTACGGAGTGCTACCTGTGTATCAGATATGGTGTTAGGATTGGATTTGGTTTAGTAAAAAACATAATAAATTCACTTTAATTAGAATTACTCTGTGCTATGACATAAAGGCCACTTACAGTTGTAAGGGATAATGGATACGTTGCTTTTATGTGTATTCTTATAAATGTTGTGATATGTCTTATATATACTTATATTTAAAATGTGTACATGCATATATACATACTGGAGATATTTTAGTAATGTATGCTTACCAGGATGCACCCTAGGATTTGATATTATGTGCAGCCTTTGACATATCCAGTATATAGATGTACAGATGTTTGTTTTAATTGTTTGGTTCAGAACCTGCACAGTATTGAGACATGCTTAATATAACAACATTACACATGCTTATAGGGTACTCAAAATGAAAATTATATCTCTAGCAGATTTCTAGAGAAGTGGGAGTAAATAATAGTATTGGGAAAAAGAGTCAAGGTGTGTAATGCCAGTAACTGACTAATGATATTTTGCTTTGAGCTCTCTAGAATTTAATGGAAGAGAGGGAGACAGGTTGCATAGCCTTAGAGTGAAAAAAGAATATCATTTTTTTAGAACAAAGTTTTTCATTGCACTGTATTCTAGAAAGCATTTCCCACACTGATCTTATTTGACCCCAAAAGATTGTTGCCACCATTGGGTTGGTAAGTTTTTATGTTGTTTTCTATTGTTGAGCCTTACTGAAAGTCAGTTAACTAAATTGACAGAAAGCATTTTGATGGTGGAATCAAGCTAATCTTTGAGAACTTAACAGAAATAGATGGTTATCACAGACTCTGTGTTGGGTTTCTTAATTTCCTTTGGAAATTCCTTTCATTTAAAGTCAAAAGTCTTAAAGTCAGAAAATTGTAGCTCTGAAGCAAAAGAAACAAAACCAGACCAGATCTGTGTCTCTGCTACCCCATTCCCTTATCCAGGATTGAAATGTCAAAGGATGCACTTCCTGAGAAGGCTTGTCAGTTGGACAGTCGCTACTGGAGAATAACAAATGCTAAAGGGGATGTCGAAGAGGTTCAAGGACCTGGAGTAGTTGGTATGTAACCAGAAATTTGGTTTTATACGTCAGTTGCCTCTAGGACATTTTGGAGAGCATATATGTGACATACACCTTAGAAATGCATGATGTACTTAGCAGATAAGACTGTATCTTTTAACAGCTGTCTTTACAGTGTGAAAGATACCATAGGTTCTGGGCTTTTTCTAACAGTAATACTTTGCTTCCTAATATCATGTGCTGTAAAGGCCATTATTATATCAGTTTAGTACCTTAAACATGAACTTTTCTAAAGTTAGAGCAAACTCAAAGTTTTCAGGGTTTGCTCACTTATGAGAAGCTTCCTGGCTATCCATTCTGCTTTTTAAAGGGATTTCTGGCACATATTAGATATCCCCATATATTAATAGTAAAGGGGACTTGCGGGCTGAGGCATCTGTAATTTAGTTATATGTTTTAATTGGAGCCTTGAACAAAGTATAAGTTTCCATTTGTTCCATAATGTGGCATATTCCAGGGTTGTGGCTTACTTCACAATATCAAGAATCTCTCACTCCTGCATAATAAGTTATAAAAAGCTTTTAAACTTAGCCTCCAGGTTTCAGCTCACCCTGATTCATGTGTTTCTAAGTTAAGCACCCTCCAGGAGTCATGACCCTGCTCGTTGTTCTCTTTGGCATCTTTGTGCAGCACGTACTTTTGAGAGTTGAGCATCCTGGCTCTAGTCCAGTGGTGCTACTTGATTTATAAACTAAAGGCTGCCTGAGCTCACAGAGTCAGCTAGGCTAGGCTCTGTGAGTTTCTTACTCTTATTTTGGTGCTGGTCTGGCATGGTGTGTAAGACCTCACCACTATAGCAGAGTACAGTGGTCTGATATTATTCTGGTATCTAGGATTTCTCCCAGAATGAGAGAGCAGAGCAAAAGATTTGAGTTGCACTGAGAAGGGATGAGGTGGGAAGTTAGTGCTGGGAGGAAACATGAGAAAATGGCCTCCTTTATGCTGTCTTCATAAATTCCCATTCTACAAAGGAAACTTCAAGAAACTGCCTTTAGAACATATAAATTACATCTTGATTCAACTAAATTTGACTTTTATTTGAATTTTTGGTAAAACACGACATGAAACCTTTTGGTGTTCAGTGCATTATTATTAATAGATACTTAAGAAAACTGAAATCTGTGTCCAGGTAGGTAAGTTTAGGCTACATAGAAAATTCTGTCCTCATTTTAAAGAACATATTTTGGTATAATAACAAACTAAGGTACATGAAAATACACCATGCTATTTCTTTTGTATGTAAATCATAATAGATTTATTTTTTCTTATACAACATTTTTATCACATGAAATGTACCAAAATGATTTTTTAAACTTTACAGTGAAATTACTTGTTCTAAAAATGTAAAATTATGCCTTATGTGAATTTTAATGACATTATTCATGTGGCTCCTTAATTTCTTGCTCAAAGCAGGTAGATGACTGTGATCATTTGAATACAATAGCATTTAATAAATAAAGGATCAGAATAGGCCATTAAACATTGAGGAAAGAACCAATTATTGTAATTTACCTTATCTCAGTTAATACCTTTAAACTTTTTAAGCTATATACCCTCAGATCCAAGCTTAAATTGTTTTTCTCATTCCCTTAATGGAATAATAAGTAAATACTATTTAAGTTTAGCATCTGACACTCAGCATGGCAAAGTACAGAAAATCAGTTAATAGAAACAAGATTACAAAGAAATTCATTGAGTAACATTGTTTAAGGGACTTAAAGTGTGCTAGGCACTGAGATGTGTTAACAATAGATAATGGGGGTCTGAGAAAGTTATGTATATTACCTAGAAGGGCAAACCTAATTCATGTAAATACTTGTGATTGATCCAACCGCAAGATCACAGATGTATGATTTGGGCTGGACTTTGAGCTGGTTCCTGAGACTATGGAGGACCACTATGCATTTGAATCTGTAGTGGTACAACTAGACTAGGTTCAGATTGGCCTGATCCCCAGCACTCTGCAGTGCCATCCTTGTTAGATGTCCCAGCTGAGCCTGGCTTCTGCCAGAACTGTGTGCATGAGTCAGGATGTACCCAGACCAGGGATGTACCTCGATCACCTGAGTAGGCACTGATATTTTTCCTGTAGTTTCTTCCCAGACATAGCTGTATCCCATTTGTTCTTGAACCAGAACAAAATAAAGTTTAAAAATGTTATTTAATTGTAAATGTAAAAAAGTGGTTTAAAGGTAGTTGGAGGATTCTCTAGCAAGGAAGTTGGGAATAAGGTGGATAAAACTGAGAATAAAAATTGACCTGATAAAGGACTAGTAAAATTACATCTATAAATGTTTCTAGTTTGGGCCTCATTATCTTATGCATAGAGCAAATAATTGTTTCATTATTTCCTGTATAGATTTAACAAAAACTATCTGTACTTTCTCCCCGCAACCCCCACCTCCCTGTCCCCTTCCTGGGTTTACAGGTGCTACTTTTACTGACTGGTTTACTTCTTATGTCAACAATGTTGTGTCAGGCGGCTTTCCTATCATCAGAGACCAAATTTTCAGGTATTTCACTTGGGACTTTCGGATTGAAACGATTATGAATCAGGAAATAACCATTAGTTACAGCTTATGAGATGCAGTTTCCAAGAAGGTTAATAACAAAACCTCTCATCTTAAATCTCACTATTTTATTCTCACTTTATAGCCATTTGAACAGCCAGTATTTTTCTTAACCTTGAGGAATCAAGAAAAGAATTGATTTTGATTTAGAAGCTGTGGCTTATAGTATAGTTTCTTTTTGAAAAAAAATTTTTTGCTAATTAATAGATGTATTATGAATAGCAAGTCCCTAACTCTTAACTCCTGGCAAATACTATGTACTATCTCTAAAGGGAACATACAGGTATTAAAGATAGTATTAGAGGTAATACTGGTTCACAGAAGCCTGGCTGGCAGAAATAATAGATTAGTTGTACATGAGAGGCTTCTAGAATAACATGAACACATTTTATTGTCAGAGCCACTGTTACTAGGTATAGTTGGGTTTTCAGATGTCCCAAAAGTTTCTTAACTCTGAAAACTGAGAGGGGTTCTTTTTAGTTTCCAAATTAGTTTTGGAATCATTATTTGAACCACTGATCATTGAACCTGGACTACTCTTATTCCTGATCCAGAGTCTTCAGGGTTTTCTAGTTTGTAATTTCTAGTTTTCTTCTGAGCTTCCTAGGTTTTTATATACTTTATACTTTTAAGGTCCCAAATATGATTTAAATTTTGATCATAAAATAAAGTATAAAAGCTATTTTACATTGTATCTTTAAACCTTTTATCTTACAGACTTGAAGTTAGTTGATTAAAAAATGTTCAATTTTTTAAAATTACCCAGGTATGTTCATGATCCAGAGTGTGTAGCAACAACTGGAGATATTACAGTTTCAGTTTCCACATCGTTTCTGCCAGAACTTAGCTCTGTACATCCACCCCACTATTTCTTCACATACCGAATCAGGTGAGAATTGTAAATGGGGTTGCCTTTTATTTTGATCTGTCTTAGGGATGTGTTGTTGTTATTGCCTCATTTGATAAGATACATAAAACATTTTGAAAGGCAGCTTCTTGCTGAAGTGTGGAGGAAGGTGGATAACAAGTTATTATATTAAAGTTATCTATAGTATAGTGTTTGTAAAATACCTTGAGTGTACATTAACCTCTATGTTATTCGAGTATTTCTTGCAAATATATTGCTTGAAGTATTATGCCAGGTACTTTGCAAGGTGGATGCTAGGCTGTAATCATTATGAAAGCTCACTATTAAGAGTTATAATCCATTCTAGAAGCTGTGAAATTGCCCAAGGTAAAAACCATGCGTTTAAATTTTCATCTGGCCTGTCTATATTCAGTTAAATATTCAGTTGAATATTATTCAGTTAAATAAAAAAAATAAAAAAGCCTAATAAATATTTACGGAGTGCTACCTGTGTATCAGATATGGTGTTAGGATTGGATTTGGTTTAGTAAAAAACATAATAAATTCACTTTAATTAGAATTACTCTGTGCTATGACATAAAGGCCACTTACAGTTGTAAGGGATAATGGATACGTTGCTTTTATGTGTATTCTTATAAATGTTGTGATATGTCTTATATATACTTATATTTAAAATGTGTACATGCATATATACATACTAGAGATATTTTAGTAATGTATGCTTACCAGGATGCACCCTAGGATTTGATATTATGTGCAGCCTTTGACATATCCAGTATATAGATGTACAGATGTTTGTTTTAATTGTTTGGTTCAGAACCTGCACAGTATTGAGACATGCTTAATATAACAACATTACACATGCTTATAGGGTACTCAAAATGAAAATTATATCTCTAGCAGATTTCTAGAGAAGTGGGAGTAAATAATAGTATTGGGAAAAAGAGTCAAGGTGTGTAATGCCAGTAACTGACTAATGATATTTTGCTTTGAGCTCTCTAGAATTTAATGGAAGAGAGGGAGACAGGTTGCATAGCCTTAGAGTGAAAAAAGAATATCATTTTTTTAGAACAAAGTTTTTCATTGCACTGTATTCTAGAAAGCATTTCCCACACTGATCTTATTTGACCCCAAAAGATTGTTGCCACCATTGGGTTGGTAAGTTTTTATGTTGTTTTCTATTGTTGAGCCTTACTGAAAGTCAGTTAACTAAATTGACAGAAAGCATTTTGATGGTGGAATCAAGCTAATCTTTGAGAACTTAACAGAAATAGATGGTTATCACAGACTCTGTGTTGGGTTTCTTAATTTCCTTTGGAAATTCCTTTCATTTAAAGTCAAAAGTCTTAAAGTCAGAAAATTGTAGCTCTGAAGCAAAAGAAACAAAACCAGACCAGATCTGTGTCTCTGCTACCCCATTCCCTTATCCAGGATTGAAATGTCAAAGGATGCACTTCCTGAGAAGGCTTGTCAGTTGGACAGTCGCTACTGGAGAATAACAAATGCTAAAGGGGATGTCGAAGAGGTTCAAGGACCTGGAGTAGTTGGTATGTAACCAGAAATTTGGTTTTATACGTCAGTTGCCTCTAGGACATTTTGGAGAGCATATATGTGACATACACCTTAGAAATGCATGATGTACTTAGCAGATAAGACTGTATCTTTTAACAGCTGTCTTTACAGTGTGAAAGATACCATAGGTTCTGGGCTTTTTCTAACAGTAATACTTTGCTTCCTAATATCATGTGCTGTAAAGGCCATTATTATATCAGTTTAGTACCTTAAACATGAACTTTTCTAAAGTTAGAGCAAACTCAAAGTTTTCAGGGTATTTTCCATTCTGTGTATCTCCTGGGTTCCTTTTTTTTCCTTCTTAAGTTAAGTATTTTTTTTTTGCCAGATAATTATTCATTATCATATTCTATAGGGTTACAAAGGGCAGAAAATAAATTTCTATTGGTCATATTTTGATATTTAGGTGGAAATGTTAATAGCACAGATTTTTATTTGTGGATTTCAGTTACCTTTAGCTCAGATTACCATTGACATTCAGGTTTTTTAAAAATTACAATTATCTTAAGTTTCTGAACCCCCAGATTCTTCAGTTTTTCTTTTTGTGCTTCAGGAAAATAACAGTACTGTGTTTAAGCTATGTACTTCTGTTATCAGTTCTAATAAGCATATTCAGAATTCAGTTTAAAGTTAAATCTACTGCCACAAATAGATTCATGTTTTATATATTTATTTAAGGAATGTTTCCTGAATATATTTGAGGACCTAATGCTAAAGAATTTTATTAAAACTAATTATTTTTCTATTTGATCCATTGTTCCATTGGACAGACCTCTCTCTCTTGTGGCTACCATTTTGTCTGGCTAAGTGTTTAGTATCTGTCTTCAGAATTTTACGTTTTAGTCTCTTCCAACTTTAAAACACTTAGATTACCCTTAGCTTTGTCTGAACTAGTGTCTGTGACACTTTTATTATTCATATCTTAAAGATGGTGTCTTCAATATAGCAAAGCATTTTGAAAAAGAAAATATTCCTGTTTTGTTTTATCTAGATATTCTCCCTCCCTCTGCCTCACTATAGAGGATTAGGGGAATACCAAAAAAAAAAAAAAATTCAATAAATTAAATACTTATAATACCATCACTGTTAACGTTTTTTATGCTTCCTTTTAGATCTTTTTCTAGCTGTGCATTTATTTTAAGATAGTTTACATAATCCCACAAAAAAAAGGACACATCTTTTTTTTAATTATTAAGGTATTATTGATATACACTCTTATGAAGGTTTTACATGAAAAAACAATGTGGTTACTACATTTACCCATATTATCGAATCCCCCCTCATACCCCATTGCAGTCACTGTCCATCAGTGAGTAAGATGCCACAGAGTCACTGTTTGCCTTCTATGTGCTACACTGTCTTCCCCATGATCCCCCCGACACCATGTGTACCAGTCATAATACCCCTCAATCCCCTTCTCCCTCCCTACCCACCTGCCATCCCCCACCCGTTCCCTTTGGTAACCGCTAGTCCCTTCTTGGAGTCCATGAGTCTCCTGCAGTTTTGTTCCTTCAGTTTTGCTTCATTGTTATGCTCCATAAATGAGGGAAATCATGTGGTACTTGTCTTTCCCTGCCTGGCTTATTTCACTGAGCATAATATCCTCCAGCTCCATCCATGTTGTTGCAAATGGTAGGATTTCTTTCTTTCTTATGGCTGAATAGTATTCCATTGTGTATATGTACCACCTCTTCTTTATCCATTCATCTACTGATGGACACTTAGGTTACTTCCATATCTTGGCTTTTGTAAATAGTGCTGCAATAAACATAGGGGTGCATATGTCTTTTTGAATCTGAGAACTTTTATTCTTTGGATAAATTCCTAGGAGTAAAAAGGACACCTCTTATTTGCTGTACTGAATAACTAAATTTTATACTTTGGTTTATTGTTACTGTTTTCTCTGCAGGTGAATTTCCAATCATCAGCCCAGGTCGGGTATATGAATATACAAGTTGTACTACATTTTCCACAACATCAGGATATATGGAAGGATATTATACCTTCCATTTTCTTTACTTTAAAGACAAGATCTTTAATGTCGCCATTCCCCGATTCCATATGGCATGTCCAACATTCAGGGTGTCTATAGCCCGATTGGTGAGTTAAATTTTCCTCTGGGGCTGATATACATGACTCTGTAGAATTAACTCCCAGAGGGACGTTATTGATTATCCAGACAAATGGTTTATAAATGGTGTTCCAGAGAACCCTAGAGATCCTGAGGAAGGATCATAGGGGACCACATGAATATGTTGGGGGAGGTGGACTCCACACGATTGAATCAAAGTAACTCTACTATTATCTTTTGTTTGTTTTTAGTAGACATCACTTTTTTTATTAGCAATTTTAGATTCCCAGAAAATTGAGTAGAAGGTATAAAAATTTCCCAAATACCTCCTGCCCCAACACATGCATAGACTTTCCCATTATCAGTATCTACCACTAGAGTGATACCTTTGTTACAGTTGATGAACCTATATTAGCACATCAAAATCACCCAGAGTCCATGGTTTACATTAGGGGTCACTCTTGGTGTTGTACATTCTATAGGTTTGGACAAATGCATTATAATGACATGAATACACCACATAGTATCATATAAAGTTGTTATTGGTTTTTAAGGTTCAGCCTCTTTCCCACTGTTTCCAAAAACAGTTCTGTGGCCTAATGAGAAACACCACATTAGACCAGTTAGAACAGGCTTTATTTCATCAAGACTGGGAAGACAATTTCTTAGTGTTTTTGCTAAAACTCCCAATTTTGTAAATTAATGGAAATATCCTATAGCCACCATTACAAAGAGGGTTTAATGAATGGACTTGTATTTTCAATAGTCTCTCTTAGGGATCATTTCCTAAGTCAACTAGGCATATGTTTAAAATCTCATTTTTAGGGTTACATTATGACAGGTGTAACAGTACCCCAGTCTTATGGACTGTAAAATGATTAAATAGAATTATGAAGTTCCAGTTATACAACAGGATTAATGTGTGAAAATTGTATACCTAGAATGTAATTGAGTTGTAGGTGTTCTTCAGAAAGTGCTCTCTGGCTCCTCGGGTGACCCTGATGGGTAGGTCTGAAATAACTCTGGGAAGATGGATGTGACGTTAACCTAGCCAGAGCTAACACATTCCCAACTCCAGTTCGGAACTAGGAGGGTGATGATGAGATAAGCCAATATACTTCTGGTATGTCTGGGTTTGGAAGTGAAGTTTAGCTTCCCTCCTAGTGGAGAAATGCTTTCTATTGTATATTTCTAGTACTTGGAATTTGTTACTTCTGTAATAGTTCAGTAAAGTCTTCTGGAGTTCTCTTTGTGGAAAAGTTTTAAAATATGAATTTAATTTCTTTAATATTCATATTTTCTATGTCTTCTTGTTTCACTTTTGGTAATTTGTGTCTTTCAAGGAATTTGTCCATTTTGTCTAAATGTTGAGTTTATTGTTATGAAAGTTATTTACAATATTTCCTGGATATCCTTTTAATGGCTGTAAGAGCCATAGTCATGTCTTTTGTTCTTAATATTGGTAATTTGTATTTTCCCTTTTGTTAATCGGTTTAGCTAGGGGGTGCGCTTTTATCATTTAAGGGAACAACTTTTGGTTTTGCTAATTTTCTCTATTGTTTGCTCATTTTCTATTTCATTGATTTCTGCAGTTATCTTTATTTCTCTCTTACTTATTTTGGGTTTAATTTGCTTTTATTCCAAGCTTCTAAAGGTAGAAGTTAGATTATTAGTTTTAGACTTCTCTAAGCACTCCCTTAGCTGCATTTCACAAATTTTGATGTTATCTCTCATTAATGTTTAATTCGAAACATCAGATTTCCCTTGTAATTTAATTTTGATCTATGACTTTTCTAGAAATATGTGAATTTCCAAACACTTGGAGATTTTCCAGTTAACTTTTGGTTATTGATTTCTAATTTTATGGTTAGACAACTTGCTGTGTATAATCTAAATCCTTTTAAAATGTTTTATGGCCCAGAATTGTGGTCTAGCTTGGTAAGTAATCCTTGTGTATTTGAAAAGAATGTATATTCTACTATTTGGGGGAATGTTGTTCTGTAACTGACAGGTCAAATTGGTCAACTATTTTTCAAGTCTTCTATATATTTTCTTTTTTTGTCTTTGTTTTCTGAGAGGTGATTGTTGAAATTTCCAGCTGTAATTATGGTTTTGTCTATTACTCTTTAATTCTGTCAGATTTGCTTCATGTATTTTGAAGCTCTGTAATTATATGTGGACATGTTTAGAATTGTTATATCTTTTTAATGAAGTACTTCTTTTATTGTTATGAAATGTCTGTCTCTGATAATATTCCTTGTCCTAAAGTTGCTAATATTCCTGAACTAATTTGTAAAGAATGTTGAGGTTTCTTTGGGCAGGCAGTTAAGTTACTGTTGGGTCTGCTTGATCCTGTTGAGGCTTGTTTTAAATGGTTTATTAGGGTAGATATAAAGTAGCCTTTTCTTAAGAACAGTAGATCTCAAACTTTTTGGTCTCCTGCCCCACTTAAGCTGTCAAAAGTTATTGAGGACTCTGAAGAACTATTGCTTATGTGGATTTTATCACTATTTCATGTTAGAAATGAAAACTGAGAAGTTTTATAATATTTACTTACTCCTTTTTTAAAGTTTAAATTTTTTAAATTTATCATTTTAAATTATAATAAACTCATTACCTGTTCACCCTCTCTTAACTATGTTCTTACTTATTTAGAGTTTTAATTCCTCCCAACCACAAATAAGCATATAAAATCTTGACCTACCTTGTGGAAAACATTTTCTGTCTCTCAAGGATAAGAAATCAATAAAAAGAAATAGGAATTCTGGACTTACTTCTAATCAACACTGCAGAGGCAGGGGGACTGTATTTGTATTATGTTGTATTTGTATTGTATCTTTCCTGTTTAAATATTAGTTTTCTTGATAGGGAATTTGAATTGTTTTCCTTTCTTGTCCTCTAACCAAGTACTTTTCCTTTTGCTGTATACTTCGAATGCCACTATAAATATATTTTTGGTTGGTCTTCTGCCTTTTCTTGGTTGAGGTGGTTTGTTCTGGATACGTTAGACGCTCCTGCTGCTCACTGATTTCCATTCTTACCTGCATGTTCCTCTTCCCATCTGCTGTTTGCATATGTACACTTCTGTCAGACATCATCAGTAATTTCCCTCCTTAACAACAGTGATTTCTTTAACACTTTTTCTGTTTTCTTCTTCATTAAGATAATTAATAATTACACTACCTGGATTTAATGCTTTAGAATTTCCTAACCTCCCTCCTCTCCCCCTTTTGATCTTCTACTGAATGTTGAAGTCTTCATTACCTACATGAAAAAAAAATCAAAAGATAAAAATATTGGATCTTATGTCATACTTATGTATATTTTTGCTGATTATTATTGTTGTTAGTGTTATAATAAACCTTAAGTGACAGTTCCTTTGACAAATCTTAAAGGATAATTCCTTTCTCCTATATTAATTAATTTGCTTGCTCAATCAATATTTATTGAGTACCTGCTAGGTGCCGGGAATAATGCAGTGAACAATACAATCAAAATATCTGCCTTCTGGGATGTAATGTACAGCATGGTGACTATAGTTAATAATACTGTATTACATATTTGAAAGTTGCTAAGATAGTAAATATTCACAAGAAAAAAACATTCTGTAACTGTATACTGACGGATGTTAACTAGACTTACTGTGGTGATCAATTTGTAATATATACAAATATTGAATCATTCTGTTGTACACATGAAATTATTATAATGTATGTCAATTATACCTCAATAAAAAATTTTTTAAAAAGAAGAAAATTGGGGAAAAAGAAAATCTCTGTCTTGTAATTTATATTCTAGTTGAAAGAAACAAAGTGTAGCAGACAAACACTATGTATTTATGTCAAGTAGAAATAAGTGCTCTGGAGAAAATCAGAGTAAAGGGGTTAAGGAGCGTCCTGTGAGTTGTCCTAATACAGAGATGTGTCAGGGAAGGCCTCCGTGCCTTTGAGTGGAGACATGGAAGGAGTAGAGGGACCTAGGTGGGTATGTGGGAGAAGGGTGTTCAAAACAGCAAGTGCAGAGGTCTTGAAGCACTGGTTTGCCTGGTACGTGTGAAGGACTGCAAGGAAGGCAGTGTAGTGCAGTGCAGTGGACAGGGCAGGGTAGCTAGAGATGAGGCCAAGAGGGGCTGGGGGTGCTGGATTTGTAATGCCATGAAAGCCTCAGTGCAAGCTCTTCTGCTGACATCATATCGCATGTTTCTGAATACTTCCCACACTGCCAATTAGGTCCTTGCTGTTCAGAACTTTATGTGGCTACACCTTTCATTGAGTCTTCAAATACATGAAAGAGAAAATTGACTGTAGAGTAACTCAAGACTTGATCAGAGACACTGCTTACACAGAATTGAAGTTCCCAAGAGATGTGTTCAGATACTGCTTGTTCAGCATCACTACTGCCCTACTCTGAGAGCCTTCAACAAGTTTAAAAGTAGGGGCTACCAGTGGTGGTTGGATGGAAATGATGTGTCTTTACAGTGGGATCTCAATAGAAGTCTAATACGGACCTCTTGTTGACAGCACGGAAAAGTTACCAGTAGAGGTTATATCTTATTAATAAGGTATTAGCAATTTCACATCCTTTTTCTGTAAGCATATAGATTAGTAAAGAATTCTTACTTAATATAGTAATATGATAAATTCAGTAAAAGTTGATCTTGGGTTGCTAGGACTGGTCTGTTTGCCACCTTGTATGAATTCTCAAGTACCATGTAAAAAATAGTACTGTATTAAATATATTTACCATTAAAACCACATTAAACATTTTTAAACATGAAAAAATATACACTCTAGAATCTTGATCAGTATGTGCATTATGAAAATATACTCTTAAAGTCTGTAAAAATTCGGTTAGATTCTAGATAAATTAGAATTTGCATTAAATACATATAAAAAATTGATAGAGGTTCTTATCAAAAGATTGTTTTCTCTTTCAAGGAAATGGGTCCTGATGAATATGAAGAGATGGAAGAGGAGGAAGAAGAGGAGGAGGAGGAAGATGATGATGACGATTCAGCAGATATGGACGAATCTGATGAAGATGAGGAGGAGGAGAGACGGAGGAGGGTCTTTGATGTTCCCATTCGCAGACGCCGGTGCTCTCGCCTTTTTTAGCGAGCCTCTGCTGATAGAAGCACTGGGATAAATCCAGTCTGTTAAATAGATTTCTCAGTCATGTAAATAACTAAATTGTTCCCAATATATAGCAGGAAAACTAGCATGAAGTATTGTTATATGGGTTCTGAGTTCTAGGTGACCCTCTATTAGGAACTGGATTGTTTTGGTTTGCTTCGCGTTTTAGAGGTAGAGGAGGAAATGGCAATCTTTTTTCTCTTCTAGAAGTCAATGAGGGGAATTGTTCTCTAATTAAGGAACAGATGTTTCTTTGTTTTGAAATATTTTATACTTATAAAACATGGAAATGGGAGGGAATTGTTTTGAATGAGGATTTAAAGGATAGAAAGAAACTGACTGAATGATTCTGTGAAAAGATTCCTTGCAGTTGTCAGTTACTTAGAAATAAACAGAATTTATTAAGGCTGATCCATTTGGTGATTCCTATATATTTTGTACTCACAGGGAATTGACTAAATAGCTTGAATGCTAGTTGTTTGTCCTTTCTTAGACAATCTATCCTTGAATTTTATCACTATGACCTTGACCTTGCATATTTAGCCTTCAGCTCTACCAACCTTGAATTTAATTTAAAATCTTCAACATTACTTTGAATTTAATTTAAAGTCTTCAACTATGATCTTTATCATATTCATAGATGCATCATTTTTGAAATGTAGTATGTGAAAATATGTATCATGTTTATTAACAAGATTCTTCACCATGTCTCATGTAGTCTAAATTTGTAAATACTGCTTCTGTTTTGTGTCTCCTTTATACACTTGACTGTCTGACTTTGTGATTAAGTGACATAAATTTTATGTTAAGATTATGTTTCCTGAAACATGGATTTTTTTTGTAATTATATAATTGAGAGTTTGGAATGAAATCCTCCAGTGTCAAAAACTCACATTTTACAAACAAATTTTGGTTCCAATCCTGTATTTTGTGTTGTTGCCTATTTTCCATAAACAAATATAAATAAGCCTTTGCTCTGAAGATGGAAGATGAGCTCGAAACTCAGTGGCCTGTTGCCAGAGGCTGATTCAATTATTTCCTGACTTTGTACCCTGACTTGTGCTCCCCCTTCCCTTTTCCCCAAGAACAGTTCTTTTGTAGGGAAACCTGTAGGAAGAAGGAGGTATATACAAGGTTGGGCAAACTTACCTTTCCATATTGGCACTTGTCAAAATGTTCTGAAGTGGAATAAGTAGTTTTCCTGCTAGTTTTTTAATAGAGTATTTTTAGGCAATCAAATCCTTCCAGTATGGCTATCTCTCCTTTTTTAAAAAAATCAGCCCACAGATTTTTTAAAAAACAAACTTTCCCAGTAAAGCAATAATTTAGAAGTGATGTTGGAAGTTAACGCTGGTCCCAGGATCCCTTGCCATTCTTTGCAACTTTTCTTTCCTTCATGACCTCTTCTCTCTCAGTTCCCAGAATACTCATGGTGCCCCAGATCACCCCTGCAACCTCATCCAATCCTTACTCCTCAGAAGCATCAGGCTTAATTATCCTCTCGTCAATATTCACACTCTTAGTATGTTGAATGAATGACTTCTAGTTCATACTAAAGTGTGACTGAATAGTTGATAATAAGCTCAAGTGTTTTTATTTCTTTCACAACAATGTGTATTCACACATAAAAGTGATCTAACAGTCAAGGCTATGCCTTTGGTGGAGCTAAGATCATTTCTGGCTCCGAAGTCCCTTCAGAACATCACCTATCTTTTACTTATTTGTCTAAAGATGTACCAGGGTGAGATAGGTAACTAAATAATGAGACTTGCAGCTTAAGTAGCTAAGGGATTACTTTTCTCCTGTGAAAAGTCAGAGGTAACTAGTTTAGGGCTGCTTTGGTGGTCCAATGATGTCATTCAAGATTCCTTCCATCTTTCTGTTCTACCATCCTTAGCACAAGACTTTAATCTTAAAAGGTCACCTCATGTTTGTAAGATGGCAGCTGCAGTTGTTTTATTCCAGGAAAGATGAAGAGAAAAGGGAAAAATTAAATGAAAAGTAAAAAGTCAAAGGCTGGAGAAGTAAACCAGCCAGGTCTCTAAACAGTCATTTGGAGAATAGGTAGAGAAAGGGGAAGAGGTACAGGAATGAATACATGCGGCATGGTGACCTGGTGTGACAGGACAGTAATGGCCTAAGTAGGACACACTACAGGACTGAGGGCAGTAGCAATAAGTGGGGACTGAAGAGGCGATGGAATCAAGATATCAAGATACTGAAAGGATAAAGTAGGAGATGGCAATGAGATGTGAGCGAGTAGAAGAAATCAAAGTTGATTCCCAGGTTTCTGGCTTTGTTTATGAAATTGCAGGAAAAGCAGTTGAACATTGGAGATGAATTCAGATTTGGGAACATTTTGAGTTGAAGATTATCTGTGGGACATATAGGTGATGTCCAGCAATCAGTTGGATGTGAATATAAAGATCAAGGGAGTGGTCAGGAGAATAAAGATTTACAAATTATCTGCAAATACATATATCCCCAAGGTGCTATGGTGGATGCACTGTAGTCTCCCAGGGAGGACACATAGCATTGGTTCTCAGCCCAACCCAGGTAATACCAGACTATGAGTGGATAGTGGGAAAGAATCCAGACTGAAAGCAAAATCAGTAGAGTGCCATCCCAGAATCCAAGACACTTTCAAAGAAGGATCAGCTAATGGGATGCATATAAGATAATGGCATGTGAAAGAGATATCTGAACAAGCCATCAAAGGAAATACCAATATTAGCTGTTTTAAGCAGGCACACTTTAAACACTCAAAGCAAGAGACTTGAATTTGTGTAAAGGAAAACCAAGATTTGTGCACCACCAGTGAAATTTATCCCCTGACATCCCAAAGCCATTAAGTCATGGGTAGAAGGCAAAAGTCATAATCAGTTATCCTATGATTTCCTGTGTTTGAATTTTATTCAACCCCTCCCAATTCAGAAAATTCAACCCCTCCCAATTCAGCATAAGCAGTCTTGAGATGTAATACCTGTCTTTTTACCTCTGATCCTCAGTATGTCTCATGGTCCCAACAAAGGTCAGTCTCTGGGAGAAACACTTGTATTTTTTGCCTTTTTTTCCCCATGCTCCCTTGCATGGCGACCTTAAAGCCAGTTCTACTGTGGGTGGGGCACTTTTCGAGCGACTAATGGAAACGTCAAATTACGTGGTCACATAAAAATAATGTTCTAAATGGTGCTTCTGGCCCCAGACTGGCCAATATGAGCTTTTCAGCTCACAACAGAGTTGCATCTTGGTTCCAAACAAGTCAAAAGGCTTGGATGTGGCTGTGGCCGACGGCCATCTGGAAGGTGGCCCGAGTCCCAGAGCAGAAGGGAGCTTCAGGCTGCAGCAGGGTTTGGCAGTTGGGACGAGTAGGAGCTTGGCATGAGCACAAAAAAGTTTTCAAAAAACTTTATAATTTTTTTAAAACAAAAAATGGAAAATTAGGAGTCTTGGAGTTTCATAATGATTTTGTTTCCGATAATAAATCGGAGAAGGACGTCATAAACTGTCCGTTTCAGAGTTTTAAAGGTCTTACTCTTGACCTGGTGACAGGTTTTTTCCAGAACCTAGTGGGGCCCAAGTCACCCTGCGCTCAGCGCTGCGGGCCCCTGACCACTGCCGGTTGCCCCGGGTGCGGTGGGCAAGGGGACGACCAGGGGGCTGGACACCACGGCTGTAAAAAGCCGACCCCGGGCTCGCAGTACGCGGCGCGCAGGGTGCGGCCGGTGTACGGGCGACGGGTGGGGGCGGGGCCTGCGGGAGGAGGCGGAGCCCGCCGGAGCCGAGGTTATAAAAGTGGGCGGCGCTCCGGGCGCAGTCGGAGCGGCGCTGGCAGTGGGGCTGCGGCTGCGTCAGGTAAGGCTTGGCGGCCAGGCAGTGAGCGGAGCCGCACTGCGAGCCCGACCGCTGCTGGGACTGGGGGTTCAGAGAGTCCGGGCATTGCCGTACCTACCTGCGCCGGCTCCCGCGTCCGGGACATTTCACCCGATCCCCGGGCCGAACCTCCCAAGGCCCTTCGCTTCCCCGCGGCCTGGCGACAATCCCCGGCCTCGAGGCCCCGGGTGGCACGCCGCAACTCCCCAGAGACACGGGCAGACGCTGGCTTCCTTTGTTTACAAAAGGGTGAACTCGGCGCTCTTTTCCAAAACCCCAGATTCCGCGGGTCAGGCTCTCCAGTCCCCCGGGAGTATTTTCATGGGACTTAGGCCACCTGCCTCCACTTTAGCGTGAAGGGAAGCTCTTGCCCTAGGGGAAAAGAGATTAACGTCATCCCTGAATGATAATGAATTCGTCTCTTACTTAGAGACCTAAACTTCGAATTTTACAAAGCAGGGCAGGTATTTTAAGTCCAGATTTGGTGTGAGGTTTTGTTTCCTTGGGCCGGCTGACAGCCTGACAGTCGACTGTTAAAGAAACGTTAAGCACTGGTTTGTATCGTTTAATGAGAAGCAGGCTGTCCACTGGATCCTGGAAATGCGCCTGGTAACATTCTCCATTTCTCTGACATGTAGAACAGTGTCAGGGAAATGGCTTCTCCCTGTCAGCCTGGAGTCCACGGTGGGAAGAGCTGCGGTGTGTGACTCACCCCAGCAGTAGCTGTGTGACTTCGGAAACTCGGGTTTCAGGAGAGTCCTTGTTTGTGAAATGGGGCATTGATCTGGTTGCCCCCTTGTGAAGGCTCTAGTGCAGAGGTTTCTGCCGGGAAGGGCCAGCAATCCCTGAGACGACGAGTGAAGGATTACTCCACACCTTACTTTACAGCAAGGGAGGAGAAGGCGAGGGGGTCGCCGCTCAAAGGCGAAGACCCTTTTCCTCAGTTCGCCCTCGTATTTATAGTGTGCTTTCAAATCTTTTCGTCATGATTAAAAATACCACAGCTGCAGATCTCAAGAGTGTAGAAAATCACAGGATGTAATCATTCTTAAACCTTTCATACAATCAAAGATTTTCATGTGTTGATTATCGGAAACACAAAACAGAGCTCTATGTGTGCAACGTGCTTGGTTAACTAGAAGTGTACTACGCAGAAACAAAATTTGTGAAAAACACCTTCAGGCTCATGGGAACAACGGGAGCAGGCGACTGGCCGCTTTCCAACGTTTAAGCATTTACGCAGACCCCGGCATTCCAAGGGTCTACGCCCTGTCCAGTAGTCCGTGACGCCCTCTGGAAGTTTCTGTCTATATTTTAGCAAGCCAAGCATTGTGCACAGCCCTGTCATTAACATTTCCAACCCCCACAGGTTTCCTCCGGTTTTCCTTTTGACCAGAGCTTTTTTTTCTGTAAGATCCTGAGTCCATTTTCAAAGTGTCTCCTGCTGTAACCAGCTGATTCTTTTAACAAATCATCTTAACTTACTGGTGACTTTCCTAAAGAAGTCGAGGGGCCCCAGCTGAACCTGGATGCCCCCTCCTTTCTCAACTGCAATACTTTTACTTCATTCTAAACAAATCAGCCCGTAAACTTAGAGACATGGCCCACACTATGTCAAGTTAGTGTGTGAAAAGAGACACTTTGAAAAGGAGGGAGAGACCTCAAACACAGGAGAGGTAACCCAAAGATTGGGCTTCAGTTCTCAGGGGAACCCCTCTTTCCTACCACTTCACCCTGTCTTATCTAGCTTAAATCTATTGGTTGATGGCTGTGGCTCTAGAATCCACCTGTCATTTTCTTAGCAAGTTCATGTGTCACAGTGTAGTGGTCAAGGGCCTGGGCTTTGACATCAGACCAGGGCTTGAATCCTGGCTCTGCTGTTTACTGGGTAACCCTGAGCAAGCTATTTAACGTCATTTTCTTATCAGTTAAATAATAGCCCTAACTTCATAGGATGTTGAAAGGACTAAATGATATAATTCATGAAAAGGTCTCAGTCTGGCACTTGATATATTGAGGACAAATGGTGGCTGTTAATATTTTGGGTACCCGT